CAGCATTCATCATAAATCATAGAACAATGAATAACAACAATAAAATAATAATTTTGAAATCGTGTATTTTATTCGATTACTTATTGCATTTGTCGTTACTATATTTGGATCTGTGAATACTGGAGGATTTTGTATTCCTGTGCTTTTCTTGATGCTGTATCTGTATTTTTACTATAATCTAACGGTAATTATTCCCGTAAGATAATAAATAAATAAATGTAATAAATAATGAAGTTAAATATAAATATAACAAACAATAAAATCAAATATAATGTATATAACAGTTAATAACAATAACGATAGTAACAACAGAAATAAATAAGAATTAATCTAGCAGAACCAGAAACCATCACCTGTCCGAAACTTTGCTCGAAACTGCACGAGGGGAACGGCCCTCAAGGCTCGAAGGCACGAATGATCGGTAAGATCGACGCGACTGGCCAGAGAAACCCTCGTTAAACCTCGCGATTCATCATTCGCCTAGGAGTCTTTAAGGACGATTAAGCGAACAAGAGGGCCAACGAAAACGTGTCCCACGTCAAACCTGTTCTCCTACGATGCTGTCCGCAACGACGCTTTCCAACCCCTCGTTGCCAAACTTGCTTAACCCTTTCGAGTAACTGGAGCATGTCTTTTTTCCTACCCCTGTCGTTCGTTCGAGGGGGAGGAACGCGTGCCTTCGAGGCACGTTTTCACCGGAACTTATCTCCGTTTTGAACGTACGCGCGAGCCAGGAAGTTCGCGAGGGAGGAGGGCGAAGGGTGGTTTCGCTAGGCGCCATCGCCGCAGGTAATCTTGGATCTAAATTGAGCCGTACCTGCGCCGAGACGACACGCGCCCTTTGATTAAACTCGGTGTATTATTGACGAGCAACTGTCTTATCCTCGGCGTCGTGAAACTTCACGCGCCTCCGGAAACTTGCAAGCACTGCTGTGAACTTTGTCGCGAACCACGTCGCCGAGAATCCTTCGAGAAACGCAAAACCTGAACAATTTCTTTCTTCTACATATATATTTTGACGTAGGGATTTTGTTTGTGGTTCGATTATATATTTCGAAATTTAAAATCAATCTCTCTGCACGCAATTATTATCCACGCAACCAGTTCCCAATATATGTATACTTTAGTCGAGATAATTTTTTAGAAAAACTACAGATTGCAAGATTGATGTTAAGTTAAAATTTCGGTGAATTACTCGTTACAAAATTCTCTTCATTTTATACTGCATTTTACTCGTATATATTATTACTGTTATTTGAGGCAGTCTTTCAGGAAATTACAAATGATATCCCATGATCACGACGAATCTAAAATTTCAATAAATTAACCTCAAAAATTTATTATACAGTTCTCTTCATTTTACACGGCCAATAAGGCTATACTTCTCACTAAACTAAAAATAATATCCCAAGGACAAATTTCAAAATTTTATATTGATCGTGATCTTGGGATATTACCTTAAAAGATATACCCTCAAAAGAGTATTATAAAAAAAATTCTCTTTATTTTTGCACAGCCAGTAATCTATATCACATAGCCTATATCATTACTTTTATTTAAATTCACTCCCTCAGAAAATCCCAAGATCACGATCAATATAAAATTTCAACAAATTATCCTCGAAAATTTATTGCAAAAGTCTCTTTATTTTACGTAGCATTTTATTCGTCCGTATCGTAAAAAACAGTGTTTTCTTTCTACTTTCAGGTACGTACCTGCCACTACAGCATCGCCAGTCCCCGCATAACGTCTCGAGCGTGTATTAACGTGAGTAGATCAAAACACCGAAGAAATATTCGTACATCTATCTCCCCTCACCTCCCCGAAAAGACAAAGCGCGTCGTTTTTTTCTCGATAATGAAAGGGGACGGGGGTAAGAGCGAGGTGAGCCGCGATTGTTTCGTACGCGTAACGTAATCTCGGGGGAGCGGCGTTTCTCCGCGGCGGAGGAGATAAAATTTCAATTTTCGGCGGGAATTTCCACGAAATCTGCATAACTGAGGAGATCCGCGAGACGCGACGAGCGGCAGGAAAAGGGGGAGTATATGTCGGAACCGAAGGAGGCAGTAAATCTTTTAAGTCCCGACGATTTTTGCGCCAGAACCGCGAATAAAAAGAGATCGGCGCCGGGGACGAGCCCGTTGAAACTTTGCCCCTCCTCCCCGGGGAGGATTCTTGAAACGGACGGTGAAATTTCGAGGAGGAATTCGAAGACGAAGACGTCGGGGATGCCTTGGCTTGAATGAGCAGTAAGTTTGAGAGCTTCGAACGATGCACACCGCGCGAGAAATTTTAGAATAAATATCACAGGTGAACGTGACAAGTAAATAAATTAAATTTTTCTACGAGTAAATAATATAAATTAAAATTTTTATAC